AGTCATGTGATCTCGATGACGCAACAGTATTCTCAGGGTCACCCAGTTTCCTGTGAGTAATTGGGTAGGAGCTGTAGAACAATTGGGGGTTTGCAATAAAGTGTTTTACGTAGTAAAATATAATTCTCTTAACCTCAAATGAGTCTAAAGCAAAGAAAAAGACTGAATCAGTTTTTATTCCAACATTCACAAACACTATCTAAATGATCTAAGTTTTTAAAGAACAAGTGTATTTTGGCACCTGTTCTGGAGTGTGTTTTATATCTCAAAGTAGCCTTCTCTCACTTATCTTATTCTTAATCCTCAAAATGTGTCCCAGACTCAGAAAAAATGCCATTATGTACCATTCTTCTCATGCCATAGACATCATTCACGTGATGATGCAGCAATCTTTCCAATGTGATACCCTAATTGAATGTCCTTGAGTAGTTAGAGTCATAACAAGCTCCCAGCTTCCTCAATAAGAAAATCTCAATATGTACAAAAAATTTGAAAACTTTATATTTTAAGTAAGGGAATGGAAAACATACAAGACTGCACACCATAGTAATATAGTAGCGAGCCTCAAAGTCCCTACGTTTTAAATCACAAATATTATCATCTATTTGTCTAGAAAATTTTTAGGTCAGTCCCAATTACATTTTGCTTGACATAAATATATAATGCCCAGTAACGGATTGCTTCAAAAAGTCATTATGCACCAACAATGTGCTATACAAAATAAAAAACTGAGCATTAAAAGAAAAAACTCGGAGTATAAGATATAATCACAAGTTACATTCAGTGAAATATATCCTGATAACTTTGCCATGTTCTTTAGTTAATGATTTTCATACATTGTTATTTGAACATTTATCCACCTTTTAAAGAAAATAAGTTTGCAAGATTTTGTGTGTTGTTTTAACAATTTATAACTTAAACAGTAAACAGAAAAATATCAGAAGACTAGCTAACTACTTTCTAACCGTAATATTCAAGCACATCACGCATTTTCTACATTCTTAATTAATATGTAGAAGTTTTCAAAATCTCTTTGCATACAGAGCATGTTTAGCTCCCATTGTAGGAATTTGGCCAAGGGACTAACTAAGCTTTTCTCACATGGAACTGGATCACTTTACCAGTGTGTTACACGAACTCTCTAACAGGTAAAATAAATATAATTTTACACATTTTTTACCAAATAGACAGCAATCTTCTCTTTTGATAAGCTTAGAAATGTTTTGTTCTAGGTTACGGAAGAACAGTATTCTTGGAAATCAGTCTGGCCGAGGCGTGTGCCGGAACAACGACTAACCATAATTTACGAAGAAAACATTAAGTCATATTAGTTATTGTGTTTTATCTCTATGCTATATCCGATTAAAATCCGATTCACCATTATTTTGTTGTTACGTAATATGTTTTCGTTAGTTTAAACGATTACTGTATTCGATCGCACTTTGACTAAAAGTCTGATAAGAGATCACGTGATGATAATAATAACAATTAATAGGGTTTCGTACACACGAAAACAAAACAACAACAAAAAGAACAGCTGAAAAATTATGGTCGGTATGTAACTTACTCGAAAATACTGCTTTCAATATTGTTGCGACAACTACATCGGCAGTTGATGGGTACATATGTATAGATGGCGTGGTGAGAAGTGTATTGTTGAAAAATGTTTATGAAAATAATTATGATAATGAGCTCATGTTTATTATTAGTATTAGCACTAAGTTACTACAATATGTCAAACATTTTATTTAGTTTTTGCTGTTTGTAGTTAGGCCTATTTCTAATTGTTTTAGAAATGAGAATATTATTTTGTTTAATTTTTCTTCGTCCAGCTTCTATAATTTTGAAACAAAACTGGCATAGAGCTTCCTTTTAGTTTAATATTTTTTAACGAAACTTATAAATTTCCTTCACGAAACTAGTAAATTATACAGATTACAGACAGCTGAAGTTGTTAATGTGGGCATTACTGGTATAGAAATCTATATGTCCACTGCATGCATGAAAGAAAACATACAATGTTCAGATACAGGGACAATGTGTACAGGTTCTCCGCTAATTTAATACAAACATGTCAAATCTATGTGTAGTCACAGAACGAAAAAGGTTGATTGAAGGACAATATTGGGTAGTGGTTGGCCAATACTCTGTTGGTGCTGCCACCATCTTTCTTAGTGGCACTAAGTTGTATAATTCTGAAACAGCAGCTGTGCATTTTTTGTCACAAACGAACCCATACGTTCACTGTTCATTCTACTGAACACATTTTTATTGTGCAACAAGCAGGGTTGTTAACTACAAATGCTAACAAAAGTTTAAAGCAACAAATATAAAAACATTATAAGGGTACAAATCTTTATGAAGAACACTTCTGCATTTTAATAAAGATATCACAATTTTTACTTTACACAATGAATTAAATATGTAAATTTTCACTTTATATTTTAAAATTTACCAGTAACATAAACATAGTAAAATGTTGTATGGAATAGCAAACACTATTTGTTGCTATAAAAATGAACAAGTTAAGATATTCCTGTTGTTTGTACATGTATGTGATGCAAGATTCTAGGCTAGGTTCAAGAATTTTAGAAACATTTGGAGATGCATTGTTTGGCTACCTTGCTATCATAAGCATGAAAAGTAAACATACTCTACATCTAAAAACACTTTACTTCAATTATCCAGGAATATCAGTGTAAACAACTCATTTCTTCACCTGTTGGCAGTTCAAATTTGTTAAACACCTATAACATTCACTGCCACTTTTAATCACAACTAGTAACACTTGGTGGCTGGTATCAAGAAAATTTAAAAAGTTTGTAAAGTGCTGAACTTTAAGCCTAATAACAATTACTTATACTAATAAAGATAAAGAAGAAAGGGCAGTGGAAACAGTATATTTTTTCAAGCGCTTGCTTTCTCTGATCTTATCTAATATTTCCTTCATATTTCCTAAGAAAACAGTTCAAACGTTTACATTATAATTCCTAGAAAAATACAAGCTTTCTACTCACTACAGCAACCATGCTGTTTAATGTTTCAAATAACCTACATTATGATTTTAAACAGTTTCAATGTTTCTGACAGCCTATATAGTGTTCTTAAACAGTTTTAATGTTTCTAACAGCCTATCACAACGTTTTTTTAATGTATTTTCATGTTTCTAATAACATAGAAATAGTTAAATATAGATCCATTTTTCTTCTGACCTATATAATGATTTTAAACACGGTTTTGTTTCTAACAACATGGATAATGATATACAGTATAACTTACGTCACTTACTATCTGGATAATGATGTTTATCATGCAAGTTGACATGCATTTCTATTGCAGATACTTCAATAAAAGTACTAAATTATATTCATGTATTAATGTTATAAAATTACATTCAGCATTTTAGAACATTTAATTCTTTGCTCAAACTAATTCATAGCGAAAGCTGTAGATTTCGAATTGTTCTGCAACTTTAAATATATTTCAACTGTTACTTGGTAAAACCTAGAATGTTATGTTAAATTTTTATTAATACTACATAGTTTAACTAGTACAATCTTCTCTTACAATAATCTATAGCATGTAGATACGAAAAAAACCCACGAGTATTGTGTTCTTATTCTAGTATAGTACTTCGAGGTACATCTGTTTTACATCTTTTTTTCCATACTATTCCCTTCACAGCAGTTATTTTCAACAAGAAACACAGTTATGAGCCACTGCAGGCTGAGACAACTGTGTCTGCCCTGAGCTAATGAGTCATGAACTGCATATTTGGGTCTTTACTATTGTACCAAATAACTAAGTAGGTCTTGAGGTGTACTAGGTCGTGAAACCCTGCTTTAGAGCAGTCTTATTATAAATGCATAAAGCTTTTCTTTCAATGACTTTGTTTCGTAACTGCTATCAATTGTGTACTGAAACTAACTATATGTATGTAAACTGCTACTGAATAAATATTTTATTTTGATAGAAAAAAAAGGTACGTTTTTAGCATTTATGCAGACATACGTAAAGTCAGGTCAGCAAATATACAGCTTAAAACTCATTCTACAATTATATGGATAATATGACTAGTCAGGATGAAGATCAACTAATAAAGGTAACAAAAGGTGAATTTTCAGTCCAGCCAAAAACATTATTAAAAATGTATTGAATATAGATTTTTTTATGAGTATTAAATACTGTTTTTGAAGGCTATGTTTAGCATATTTTAACTGTTTAAAGAAAACAATAACAAGATAACACTCTCTTATCATTACAGTTATAGACAAGTGAGCAGATACCACAATTATAGTGTAAACTAAAACAACATTTTATAAGCACGTTTGGTATCAGAGACAGAGAGATTTAAGGACCCAAATCGTAAACTTTGTAGTTCACAACACAAAATCGAATAAACTCACCATCATATGAAAACTTTCCTGAGAGTTGTAGAAGATGTTGTTAATATGCAGAAGAATCTCAATACACATGTATACATACACATAGGAGGACGGTTGTTAAGATACCATTAGTATAAATATAGGTGCATGTGTTAAATTCCCAAATAATGATAATGGAATTGATGGACGGAATTGGAAAAAAACTTCACGTATAAATTTTTTCCATATTTATACAAGTTCAAATATTACAAAATTAAACATTAAAATCTTTATATGTAAAAAACAAACAAACTTTAGTTTTGAAGGCACTATGCAACGCAAGCATTCGTGAAGCTCTGATATGTAATTTTTAAAATCACATTACTACTTCTGCAATGTTTAAGAATTCAACAACAAGGTTATGCTCATAAATTCCATCATTTTCTCAGGGGAAATATGAATGGAAAAAAAGGAACAACTTTTAATAGTTAATAAAAACTGTCTTCAATTTCATATTATTTTTTGTTGTTATTATAAAAATACTGGTTCATCAGATTTAGTAAATAAAATACAGACAATGAAAAAATCAAAATGTGCAAAGTTTGGTTATCATACTACATCATTTGTAGTGACTACATTAATTCTGTAAAAATATCTTTTAGTAGAAGTTGCAAATATATAACAGGAAAATTTAATTAAATGCACACAAAATATCCTGTGCTTGTGAAACTTTCTTCTCAAAAAATTGAATCAGAGTACTCTAAACTAACTTTCATTAACAAAAAAAAAAACTATAAACCAATGAACTTTCGGCTACTTTAAAAAACGTTTTTTTAACAACTTACAGTTTATTATATTAAGCATAAAGCTAGACAATTGGGTTATCTGTGATGTGTCCACCACAATTATCAAACCACAATTTTTACCAATACAAGTCCCGAAATTTACCTCTGAGCAATAGGGGGGAGGAGAGGGGAGATCTATTTTCAAAGGTTATATATATATATATATATGGTTTACTTCCTAAACAGTATGTTACTACTCAAAAATGCTACAGATGTGTCTTTGTTACAGTACTTTCTAAAACTGTTGTAATGTATTAACAAGATAAAACGTATGTGTATAAAAGCTTTGCTCATATATGCTTTATATTTTGTTTTGAAATGCTTTTTTTTTCAGAAGTAGTAAGAGCACATTCAAGATGTTTGTAATTCAACATATGGAAACATTTTTCTCTACTGACTGTAACCTTTCTTTCAACAAGTTTTTCTGAGATCTTCCATTTACAGTTTCATGGAAAGACCACATGATCCATTATCTGTAGAAAGATCGGACAGTTCTCTTTGGACTTTCTGTGACCCCAGTGGTTGGACGGAGAGCTGGGAGGAGAAGGGTACATTAATACTTGAAATTATGTTTCAATTAAAACAGCATCAATCATTATTTGAAAGAAAACATATTATAATTTTAGTAACATGAATACATGCATAAGAATGCTTGATGGTTACTTTAAGAGTGTTTGTTTAGTGATCTTGTAATTCTAAAATTTTTTTTTTAAACTCTTACCTTGATCTACAAGTTTTGCTCGACCTTTCTGCTTTCCTCCAGAGTCATTCGTCAGCTTTATGTCAAAATTATTATCTTGATTTCTGGAAAAAAAAGTAAAACAATAATAATAAGTAAAGGAAATTGAAAAAATAACCCAAATTATATGCCATTTTTCCGAGATTAAAAGGAAAAAAATACAGGCTTGGAGCTTCAAGAACACGGAATGATATTTACTAATAATACTCATTACAACAAAATCCACGAAGTGGAATTTTCATTAAAAAATATCCTAGTGTGTTACACTTTTCTTTATATTTACTGTACAAGACTTAAGATGATTTTCTGTAAGAGTGTTCCATTTTATAATAAAAACACATTTTAACTTTAGTTTTATATGTTCCTAGTTGGTTCTAATATGCATATATGATAGAAATATGTTTGAGAACACACCTTCAGACACAAAGATCTTGAGTTAAATAAACAACATTTGAATAAATTTCCATTCTTAACAGCTATTTTAATGATGCCTGTTTCTTAAACTAATGGTCCATTTCATCCATCTGAAGGAATGGATATGCAATTAAGAAAAAAAACGATACATAATTTTTCATATAGGTCTACATCCGAGCCTATATATTTCATCACGCTCATTAAACATAACCCTTTATTCTCCTGAAGAAGAATAGTGAACTATTTGAAAACACTTGAGTTTTGGGTCTCGTTTGAAAACCATTATAATTTTTAATATACTTATTATTTAAGTGACCAGTTATATTTTAATCAGCAAAAATAAACCATAATATCAAAGCCTAATTGTTCATTAATTTAAAAATACTGCTTTTGAAATCAGCAATTTAAAACAGCATATTTATAAGTAATTAAAAAAAATTTCAAACACAAACAAAATCAAAAAGTTGGAAATTAATTTCAACAAAATTACAATTTTAATGCAGCACCGGCAGTTTCAGACATAAAAATCCAGCCTACCTAATGACAGTATGTCTCTCACGGTTAACAATATCTTTATCTGTGGAAAACAAGATAGTTTGGTAAGGGACAGTTCCAGATCCTTGTCGAACCTGAGTCAAAATACCATTATACACCAGCAAGTCATCCACCAATAGCTAGGAAGCAAAACAAAAAACTGGAACTGAAGTAGTCCATTAAGACATATAAAAAAGGCTATAAAAATCAGCATGTCACAGTTAAATTATGTAACAGGCAGACAGGTGCACAATCGTACACATATACAGATATATATTTATCTATGTATACTGACATATTAACGAGTCACATCCCAACTTCTGAGAGAAGTAAGTGTCTGTTGCTCCCTTTTACCTTACTTTGTTTTTATGCTGAGATTTTCAGGTACACTGATGTCTGACATGAAAGTTTTGAAGTATCCACAAAATGTAGACTCAGGAAACATGGCAGAAAATAATTTTGAATATGGACAGTAAAGAAAAGTAACAAACACTTGTGAACAAATAAAATTTTTAATAGTTTCATTTTGAGTTTACTTACTGATTAATTATATTACAATTTACAGCTTTTACAGTAAGTAAGATTTGTTTTTAGAACAGGTAAGATGTTTCGATCACTGGTGCAATCTATGATGCTGTCTTGATGTAGCCTAACATCTGTGATGCAGTCTTGATGTAGCCTACAGTCCGTGATGCAGTCTTGCTGTAGCCTACCATCCGTGATGCCATCTTGATGTAACCTACCATCCGTGATGCCATCTTGGCATAACCTACCATCCGTGATGCCATCTTGGCATAACCTACCATCTGTGATGCCATCTTGGCATTGCCTACCATCATTGATGCAATCTTGGCATAGCCTACCATCATTGATGCAATCTTGGCATAGCCTACCATCTGTGATGCTGTCTTGATGTAGCCTATCATCTGTGATGCTGTCTTGATGTAGCCTACCATCTGTGATGCTGTCTTGATATAGCCTACCCTCCGTGATGCTGTTTGATGTAGCCTACCATCAGTGATGCAATCTTGGCATAGTCTACCATCTGTGATGCTGTCTTGATGTAGCCTATCATCTGTGATGCTGTCTTGATGTAGTCTACCATCTTTAATGCCATCTTGATGTAGCCTACCATCTTTAATGCCATCTTGATGTAGCCTACCATCTGCAAAGCTTCTTTGAACTAGTTTACAGTTTTGTTACAAGTTATAGCTTTAACAGTAAAGAAGAAGTTTTACTTAAACAGGTTCCAACATTTTAATTGCTAGTGTGATATTTCTCAAGTACACAGATCGTAATAGTAAAGAAGGTTTTTTGTACTTAAATCAACATTAAACAATATAACAATGAAAGAATAGGTATTTAAATTAGAGGAATGATAGTTGTTACTTATGCATGTACATATCAATACATGTGAAATGACAGTTCATTAATTTGCAGCTGATAAAAAAATCTGATGAATTTAAGTAAATGGAAGATATTGTGCAAAAAATTTAGGTAATATTAGGAATGTCTGGTGAAATAATGATCAAAAACAAAGTGTCATGCCTAGGTGTTTGATTTTATTAATAAGGCTTCTTTGATTTTTCTTCTGTCAGGTTCTTGTTTTAGCATGTCTACATTCTGTTTGGAAAACTGTAGTTGTTTTTCTTCATATGCTCATGAACATGGGAATGGAGTTTTTGATGTTCTTTTAATCTAATGTTCAAATTATATCCTGTTTCACCTATGTAAAAAGCTGGGATCAGTATTTGATTGAGTAAATTTAGACTTATCATTCAATTAAGAAATCATAATACAGTTTTCTTTATTGGAATTTTGTATGACAATATCTTTGTTGCTTCTAAGAAGTTTTAGGCCATTCATTTCAACCCGTGTCAAATTTTTTCACTAACTTCATCTATGAGGTTTTTTAATGGGCTGGTTTTTGGTTTAGTTTGGAAATTATTTACTGAGTCATTTATATCTTTTTTGGAATGTGAAGATTTCCAGAGATTCTTTGTTGTCCTGCAACAAACCTAGTAAGGCTTCATGAGATCTTTAACGTGGGATGAGTTACTGTTGACTGGATTTATGATTTGAATGTACTATTACTTTCCAGGAAAGGTCTTCAAAACTAGTTTTTAAATCAGACACTGGGATAGTGACAGGAGTTAAGACCTTTGTTTAGTACTATGGTTTGAGGTTAACTGAGTTGAATGTTCACAAGGTTGATTATATTGTCTTTATGTCAGCTTCTGTTCTTCTGGACTGTGCAGACAGACAGTTTTTTTTTTTGTCTGAATTTCTTTTGGTGGTTAAGCTTTTCAAGTAGGTTTTTTTCTGTATTAATAATGAAAGTAAGTTGTACTTTTCTACTGACCAATACATCAGAAAGTCAAACCCACATATTAGGTCTTTCTTTCACATCCAGTCTTTCAAAAAATGTCAATAATTCTCTCTCAATTTATGCAAGGCCAGCTCATTCTGACATCATGTTGTTTTATTCTTTACTTTTGCCAAGTCACCTTAACTAGCCCAAGGAATTATTTTAACCACCTACTGCTTAATTAGAAAGCCAGTTAAATTATAATAGTTACAGGACATTGTATTATTTGTATATATTACTTGTGTTCTAAACTGAATGTCTGAAATAAATAAAAATTCAGTAAAGTACTAACAACAACCCCTACCCAAAAAATTAGGGTTAACTTTTATCAAGACTTCAATTGCAAAAAAAAAAAAAAAAAA